TTTCAAAAGGGAAACATAACTAATCTTCAGTAGTAGAAACCTGGGATATTTAAAATAATGACATTCATGTTGTAAGTTATATCTGATTGAGCTTTATTTGCTGTTCATGGATGTTTAGAATAGACACTTCACTTATTACTGTTCCCAAATCATCAAATGCTGGCAATTTAGGAATCCCTGCTACTGTTACATACTTGGAAGTGTTCTTACTTGCCTACAGAACACTAGACTAGAGCTACTTATTGCTATGTCCCAAATTCTGTGCAGTAGACTTAATAAATTATTTAACCTCAAAGTCAATCAGAAGAGATTTTTTATTAATTGTAAAATTAATTATATTCAATCACTGAAATTAAAAAAAACACCTCTTTACAGAATTTAAATCAAATGAGGCTCACAGAAGCATCCATGTTGCAATATTTTATTCTCCTCTCCACATTCTTCAAGCTATGCAGAGAGGCATTAGGCAGAATGGAGACAGCAGCTAGGGAGGGCTGCTAAAGGGACCTCCACAAACCCAAGAGGTTGCTGCTTCTGTCTGGGCAACTTGAAAGTTTGCCAGTCACCACGCACTGTCTTTTATCGTTAGAAATTTGGTCAATTCTTTATGTGTCTTGCTTTCAAAAACTTCCCTCAAAATTGATATTCATTGCAGTTAATAATATAAAACAAAGGGTTACAGTAGCAGATAAAAAAGTTCTTCAAAAAAAAGTTGTTACTGATGATTACCATAAGTGTATCTAATTTTTACTTAGTAATAGAACTTATATAGCCTTAATAATGGCTTTATAATTTTGGAAGAAAAACAATGCTGGTAGGATAGTGTATTTTTGTGCCACTTATCAATCCGGTAGTGGGGAGATCACTTGAGTGCCCTTCAGTGTTTCAGGCTACACCATATGAACATGACAAAGGACTTACTTGTTGAGTATTCAGGGATAGTCAAGACTTCAAGCTCATCTTTGAATTTCAGGTCAGCCTAGACTGAACCTCAGCATCGCCAGTGTGACAACCAGTAGTACCTCATTTGATATTTTACCTTGTCTCATTTTTTGACACACGTTTGGATATTTGTTAAGGGCTTGTAGAGCTTAAGGTGGTGAGGCCGTAGAAAAAAGAGTGTGTAGTTTTCTTCATTTCAGGTGCAAGCTGAAGGGATCACTGAGCCAGTGTCAGTGAAACAACACTCAGACCATCAGCTAGTGCACTTTTTCCATTTGCTCAGTACCCTGTTTCCATCCTGCAGAATCTTAAATGCAAACTTTCAAATCTGCTATTTTTATATATATAAACACACACACATACATACATATGTATACATATTATATATACATATGTACATATATACACACACATATGTATACATTTTACATTAGTATATATTAGTATTATATATATAATATGTGTATATTATATATAATCAAATGGATAAAATATTCATCGGGATCCAATGATGAAATATTACCTTCCCCATGCAAATATTCTTGTTAGTTCCATGTAACTGTAGTTTCAAAAGGAACAAAAAAGGGTTTAACTAAAATGTCTGACAATACGGCTCTTTAAAGACCTTTCTTAACTTGTTATTCTTTAATAATTAGAGCAGAATTAAGTCAGAGTACAAGAGGACGAGGGGAAGCAAAGGGTATTCTTTTCATAGTCCGATGGGTCCACTGAAATATTTCAATAAAACCTTTAGTCCGAACATCTCTCTTCATGGTATGTGTAAGAAAATAAAGAACAAATAAGGGGCATAAATGAATCCACCAATGACTGGAGACAGGGTTTTCTTTACATTGTCTAATAGACTCGTTTATTATTTGAAGCTGGTAAAAAGAGACTTATGATTCGTGTTGAAGAAAGAGTTATTTGTGCTTGATACATTGAAGACACTGTTCAAAAGCAGTTTGTCCTTATAAAAAAATGACCCCTGTATTAATTCTTAGGCAAGGAGGGACAAATTCAACCAACAAAAAGCACATCTCGCCCCGAGTTCCCCATGATTTCTCCATATATAGCAAAAAAATACACATCAGTAATTTATTTGAACATGCACATCTGTGAGTAGCACAGTTCTAAGCTACTCAGGAAACAAAAGGGAGAATATCAGCATTACCTAAATAAAAAAAAGAGAGGTGAATTACACCATTTTAATTGTCTTAAAAACACGGATAAGAGGAGCAATTAAAATATAGTCCTAAATAGTACTAGCTAATGTAGATTACATAAGTATACAATATGATTCAACTAATAGTGCTCTGACAAGCATAAACCACCAGTTCTAGTAAACAAGGCCCAGATCAATTGCTGAGAAAATGTTAGATCCAGATGTAATAAACATTACTTTTATTTCAGTACTGAATGCAAAACACAAGTCAAGTGTGAAGACAGCGTTCTAAAAAAGGTGGCTCTATTAAAGTAAGGAGGCCATTTCTTTTTGCATTTTTATAATTTTTGAATTCTATTTTTGACATTTGCTTTCTCTACTTTTCCTCCCCTGAGCACTAATTTATCAAAAAAAAAAAAAAAAGATTTCAAGGTGCAAGTTATACATTCTTATTGTTATAACCATTTCATCTCTTTCTGGAAGAGAGTATTACAATCAGCATCACAACGTTAATTCTTTTTCTCTGAATATGTTTCACACACATTTCAAAATCATAATGTTGATTGGGAAAAGAAACATAAACGAGAGAGTGATGTCGTCATATACTTCCTATTGTGCTGTGTGTCTTTCCCATCCCTTCTCCCCTTTCCCTGTAAAGAGCTGTAAAAAATTTAAGGCAGATGAGGTATATTGCTGAAGAAAAGTTATTTTTGAAAAAAAATCAAAAAAACTTTTATTCTGCCCTTCTACTCAAGAAAGACTACTCAACTATAAATCTAGTGCTAGAAAAAAGCAGGAAAGACACCACTTGAATGTACCATACTATGTCTTCTATTTCTAGAATGGCTTTTTGTTAATTTAGTTTTAATAGAAAAAATAAGCACCTTAAGCTATGAACAAGAAAGGAACTTCATTATTAGTGAGTCTAGAATCCAAACGGAATTAAGAACACTCACTCAAACTCTTTCACTCATTCTCACAAAGGCCAATGCTACTGATTAGAATTGTAAAGTGCTGTACTTAGTATAAACACTTGTATACACTGCAGACACTGAAAAATAACCCTCAAGCACATTGTGTTATAGTTCCAAAAATATATTTACAGTCTATTACAAAGATTACAAATGGAAGTATCTAGGTGACTGTATTATGCTAATTAAAATTATTTTACAGATTACTTTTCCTTAGGGACAAAAAACATTTTAGTGAAATTAAAATGATTTTTCTAGTCAATCAAAAATAAATTAAAATATCAAGTAACACTGTACAGTGATTTAAAAGAAAAAAAAAAGGGGTGGGGAGGGATTTGGGAAGCAATCCATTTGAGTTTTTCTATAGCCATCTTTGGTCCTAAATGTGGGAAAACACATTATGTAGCACTGAAAATACCTGTTCTTTTGTGATGCTCTGCAAGTAAAATAGAAAAATATAGTGCATTTTCAAAGTATTCAGAGCCCACTACAGAGAAATGTGTGTACAAAACAAGACAGTATAAATAAAATTTACAAGTTTTACAAAGGAACATTTACAGATTTTGTTTCTGTTGTTTGTTTGTGGATGCCCACATTATCAAACAAGACCAATTATGACCGATCCCTGGGATCTTTCTCTATTAAAATCATTATAAACAGCCCAATTCTCTTTGGAAGTACAACAGTTCAATTCTGGGGTAGTTCATGATTTTCGTAACTTTTGAAAGCAGTACTCACAATATGTATACATTCCTGAAATAGCTATAAAGACATTTAATTATTGCTTGTGAAATTCTAACATGTAATCAAATAACATGGAATAATAAATAAAGCTGAAAGGAAGTCAGATCCTTCACCTCTTTTGGCCATGGTAATAAGTGTTCTTTCGCTCAAGTTTCTCATATCAGCGTTCACAAATTAAATTATTTTTTTCTTTAACTGCATTGGTGATATCCTGTGCAGCAAATTTGTTTTGGAAGGTGAAAATTGTGAACTGCCCCTTGTATCATGCTTCAGAGTTCTAATATAAAACTTAATTCTTTCTTCTTGTGTTTGGACTGCATTAAACAGAACGGGATATAAAATATATGCCAACTATTTCCCCTAAATTTCCTAATGTCACAATATTGAAAAAAATCTTGATGTGCTCACACTAAATTTTAGATAACACTGGATAGTTCTTGCTTTCAGAGACTTGCCTTCACCAACATTCTTTAGATGAAGTGCCTCATACTTTTTCAATGGTCATAAACTTACAATTTGAGTTGTTTTTGTTTAGTAAATTCTGTCTAGTAAAATCACTTAATAAACAATCAGTTAAAAGTGCCTTATAGTATCTATGGATCATTATTGCTTTTTTTGTTGAAAAGATAGTGTTATCTTCTCTTTACAAAAAAAATTATTTTTAAAAAATATCAGAGCTCTTGGCAACTTGCATTTCCTCGACTACCTGCCAATTAGCAAACAATATCAAAACAGCACTGATTAAAGAAAACAAAATGGCACAAGAAAGGATACCAATGTTCTGACAGAGATATCTTCAATCATGCTATGTTTTTTTCTTTTTTTAATTTGAGATTCTTTCAAAAGTACCCAGTGTAGTAATGTGTCATAGAGTAACACTAAAAAGGTCCAAAGCTATAAACAACTTTCTAAAACAAAGTCCTTATGAAGAATAAACACAAATGATTTTAAAAAGGAATAGTCTGAAATCACATATTTGAGGAAAATATTTCATTGATTTTAACAATAAGATCATGATTTTATTTGACAAATATATTCTTTCTTAAATTCTTTATGTACATTTTAAAAAGTCTATACGATAAAAAGGAGGTTAGAGAGCTCAAGGTGTTTGGATGTTTTTCAGGTAGTACTTTGTTTATTGTCACTGCTGTTTTCCTGGCCACCAGTGGTGGATCCTAAATTCCCTTTTTATATGTTCCGGTGGCACTTAGGAGTTTAAGTCTTTAGGTGCTTCTTCAATCTTCTCTTCACTGCAGAAGGGGCCCAGGACCTCAGCTGTCTTGTAGCAGCATCCTATGAGTACACCGAAGGCCAGCACTGTTCTCTCCAGCCCGTAACTTCCCGCATGAGGGAGAAACGCTCATCACACCTGGATGCCAGTCCCATGTAAGTGAAGCATTTGTGCTCTCATAGTCTGAATGCTGCTCATGATTTTCTTCTGATGGCCAACCAGTGTGATCCCTAAACTCATCACATCACTGAAAAAGACAAATGCATTTTTTATTAGTTACCTTACCCAGAATTTATTCGGTAGTGAACTGTCGTCAGCTCTTCAATTACATAAACTGTGTATCTTAAGCAAACAGACCCCATCTTGGTGGTCTTGGGGGTTAGGACCACATTCCTGCAGAGGCTCAGGTCAGCGTGCCTGCCTCAGCGTTCTCCTTTGTGTAAACTTCCTGCTCGGGCTCTCAGTTTGTTGAGATATTTTTTAAGTGATATGAAATTTTACATAAGAAATTATTAAAGTTTTAAAATTATTATTAATTTAAGATTAGGAAATGTTAGTTGAAACATTGTAATCTTGAACCTAAGTGAAATTCAAAAGAAATTAATTATTAAAATATGTATATAGTAGGAACAGAAACAGTTCTGGCCTCCATTAGAACAAGAATCATCATTGATCATAAAAATTTTGATACTGAGTTTAATTATATGGTAATTCTGAGCACATTATTGGCCATATACTTGCTTTTAGTTCGGTTCAATCATTTTTTAAAGAGTACAATACCCATTACACATGCTTAATAGCTTAAATCTGACATAAGCTAACTGGATCTATGTATGTACTTTTATCTTTCTTAATAGCCAGAAAGATTGGGCTTAAGTATTCAAGAAGCTAAAATATAGCAACAGGACAGTGCCATAGTATTTCATAGCCATGGTTTAATAAGGCTTTGAGAAGCAAAGTTTTTAGGGGAGTAGATAGAGGGAATTGTGCCAGCTCTACCCATGTGGTGACTAGTAGAAAACTACACAAGATAGCGTGCACACTCTTAAATTCATGTACATGCCATTCCTGACCCCGGAAAGCAGTATCTGATTGCTGGCCTTCATTTCATCTGAAAAGTGTGAATCCTTCTCACAACAGCACCTAAAAAGGACCCCAGTAATGGAATCTTGATAATTGTTTTCCATTTTTAAACACATTGACTGAGAGAAACTGCATCATCCTTAAGAGTTATGTTGCAGCCAAAGAAGGCATAGTTGGGAATATTAAATAGTGTTCATAAGGCCACAAATCAGGGATGGAGCCAAAGCAGAAAACCAGTTTTTACTTCCAAATCACAGCAATTTCTAAGTTGTTTTATTAGGTGATTCTTTAGGAAAAAGAATTTTTGACTCAATTCATCAACACTTTCCAATAGGTAAATTAAACTAAACTGTTACAATAGTTACAGTGAATTAAATGGGCTCCTTTGACCTCTTTGGAAAATAATTGTATTGAGTGTCCTAATGCATTTTGGTGTTGGGTTTGAAACTTTGAGACTTTTTAAAAAAAGACTTCTATTTATTTATTTTTAGAGAAAGGAGAAGGGAGGGAGAAAGAGAGGGAGAGAAATATCAATGTGTGGTTGTCTCCCACGTACCACCTGTTGGGGACCTGACCCGCAGCCCAGGCATGTGCCCTGACTGGGTGGGAATTGAACCAGTGACCCTTTGGTTTGCAGGCTGGCACTCAGTCCACTGAGACACACCAGCCAGTGCCTGAAACTTTGAGGCTTTTAATGTCTGATACAAAAGTGGTGAAAGAAATCTTTCTTTGCAGTGGAGAAAGATTAGGAACCTAATGATATAGTAGTTAATGAAAAAAGAAAGTCTCACTGAATGATGTTTAGAGTACAGGCTGTTGAGACAAATTAGCTACCACTTAACTGAGTCAGTTTGGGGAAAACACATTCTCTGAGCCTTAGCCTTGTTGTGTGTGAAACTATTGAGTTAACAAAACTGTTGCTGTGAGGATTAGAAAAGATACTATATGTTAAAATGTCTATTTAGCATAATTCCTGGCACACAGGAGGCACTTATTAAAACATGCATTTCTCCATGGTTTTGTTGTTCATGCCTCTTTTATATAGCTTGACTGTATAAAGCTTGCATTGTACCTAATACATTCTTAATTATAATTTTTAAAGTTTAAGCTTACTCAATAGTCATTCTGGCAACTGATTCAAGGGTATTGTAGCCGGCTGCTGTGAAGTTATCTTTATATCTTTCCATCTTAATAGCTTGTAGCCATTCTCCAATTGAGCAAAATGTAGTAAAGTCTGGAGTGTTTTGATCCAGAAGAGGGCTTATTGGCCTAGATAAAAATAAAACAAAAAAACAATTTTTTTTTTTTCATGAACTACTAAGGAAGAAGGTCTTATACTATACAGAAGTAAGGGTATAGAGAATAAAATTACATATTGTGATTTGTGTTATTATAATACTTAGAAATATAAAACATAAAAGTATAAATATTAAAATGAATAGATATGCTAATAAAATCTAATGCGTAAAGTTTACCCAATAACTACAGACTCCAAAATTTATATTTTACTTATATATGATGGTCACCAGATTGTACCTTTTATGCATTTTAAAAGTACAGCCAACAGTATTTGTAATCAGTAAATACGTGTTCATTTGCTTTTCCAAAAGTAACTGGAAGTAAAGGAAGCACATTTGGCCGTGGACTGACTGGTTTAGAAAAGGAGGCTGCTGTTAAGACACTATGTGTCCACTGTACTGAGGGCACCCACATGAGCACCTTGGGAGCTCATACTCTTTCACAAGGGCCTAATGGGCTGACTACCAGTCCAGACCACAGAATCAGGGATACCTGGCAGCTGAGGCTGAATAACTACTAATATGCATAATAATGGAGGAAGCCAAATGCAAAGAATGGAGTGTTTCAGACTTTTTTAAAACCTTATCTACTTCTTTAATCATGTATTGAATTACTTTTATAAATGTTAATATCAGAGAATCATTTTAGTAACTCAAAGCAAAACAATAAAATAGATACTATGTAACAAAATTAGGGCAACAGTAATAAAAGGTCACATCATAATAAGAATGTGAAAATGCAAAATGCCACCTAATTACAAAACTCCAGTTTAAAAAGTTTTCTAAATGACAGCCAATCATATCTACTATAACTTTTAAGAAAAAAAGCAATAATAATTAATAGATCTCTTTAAATGCCAATTAGGGAATCTGAAAAAAACCCCCACAAAACTTCTGCAAACACAATATACTTAATACAGATTTATAATTTAACACAAATGTCAACTTGTCATTGGGGTGGGGCCGATGAGATAAATGGATCACGTGCACATTTTAATTTCTCCCAGTTTCCATTCCTTTAGGTATTCCTTACCTACTACAGGTTCCCAAGGGTGTTTTCAGACTATTTGGGTTTCGAATCATTTTGTCTAGAATTCCAACTATCTGCTCAAACTTTGGCCTTTCGGAGCGTTCCTTTTGCCAACAATCCAGCATCAGCTGGTGAAGACCAGCTGGGCAGTCCATGGGTGCTGGTAAACGATAACCTTCTTCTATTGCTTTTATAACCTAATAGCCAAAAGGACATAAAAAATATTACTGAATGAGGTTCACTTGTAATTAAATTAATTGCCTAGTAAGCAAAGTGATTTACCCTGATAAAAGTGAAGCATACTGCTTTGCAAAAGACTTTTTTTTCCCCCAAAATATCCATGAATATTAAGCATGTTATTAATGGGTGCATAAAGTCAGGATATAATGATATTTTTGTAGTTAATTCAGCAATCAAAAGCAGTAATTAAGTTCACTCAGAATGCAATAGTCAGAAAATTTTTTAATGTCATCCCAAAGGTTTTCAAAAGGAAACATGTTATGGAACTATTTTACTTGTCCAATATATAGCTGTGCATGTACACATTTCTCTATAAACTTATAAATTTTTCAAGATGTAAGAGGAAGTTCTGTGTTACCCAAAATGGAACCCTCCCAAGTTTCACTTTTTGCAAAGTTCAAATAACACTTTTAAACAAGATATAAAAATATGTGAATGTACTATGACAAAATATTACCAAGCACACCATTATTTTAAATAACATGAAGCTTGTATGCTCAGAAAGTGAATAGTGTTGTAAGATACAGTGGTGCGGGAGCCAATTTGCACTGGTTCCTGAAGGTGATTAAATTGCCTTGCTGCTCCAAGTTTAGCGACCTCACACTGGCATATTAAAACCAGCCTCGGGGAAGAAAGGGGACAAGAGTTCCACTAGGAAGTTGAGAAAGGTTACAAATCAGGGCTTTCCTACTCACAGAACTGGCTGTTAAACTTTTATCAGCATATAACTGCTTATTTATATCTAATAACAGCATAAAATGCTATTTACATCAAGTTTTGAATGTTAATGAAAAATAGGCTTCCATAAACATTTGTATGTGGCAATGAGAAAGCCTAAAATTACCTATTCAGAACTGTTTTTGTTTTTTTAAATTTATATGGAAAGAAAAACATAGAACTTGAAAAGCAGACATTGTCACAAACCTGAGCAGCTCAAGGAAAATAACAGGAAGACAAATGATGCAAATGATAAGGACTTGAAAAACATTATCATATTCAACGAGGATTAACAAATCCTTTGATACTGGCCTAATATCACAAAAATATAAGAAAAAAATGACTGAAAAAAAAGATGACTATGAGTTTTTGAAGAAAGTAAGGCCAAAGGTACGCGGATAATAAGCTGGCTTTAAGAAATGTTGATTAACTTAATATTTGAGGAAACTATGTCCTTAAGATGCTTGTTGATATTCATGAACAGCACGTACAAATGTAAAAGGTTGTAGGGTGCAATGAGTAAAGTAGTAGGTATCAATAATTTTTTAGAGAAAACCCTTTGTTTAGAAAAGTCCATTTGGATTTTTAAAAATCTATATATGCAAATTGATAAAGTTTAAAAAGTAAATAAAGTAACTTAATTACAGTAATGTTTTCTTTAGGGGAGAGTGTGAATGCAGTGCCCCACTATCGCAAATTATGCAGCTGATTTTCCCATATTTGAATTGCACAGGTCAGCACACCCGGAGTGCAATGGGTGAGCCTCGCCCTGGGAAAACCACCTTTTGTCATTATGGTGTCTCCCCTGCAGTAAGCATTAATTACAGTAGTTTTTGAGGAGTACGGTGAATATAAAATCCTCAGCTCAAATTCTCCCCTGCTCACTGATTTATACATCAGTTTAATAGACATCTTCATCTGGGTTTTCCATAAGCATCATACACACCTTATAAGCAAACATACAAAAATGGTGACTCTGTAAAGATCACAAAAATATAACTATAGGAGAAATTAAATTAAAAAAATTAAATGGAAACAATTTCATGGGGTTTTGTACAACATTGCAGTGACAGCACTATACTTGGATTCATAAGCACTCTATGTTCAACAACTTAGGTAAAAGCAAAAAAGAACGTACTTCAGAAAGCTGGGTTAAGTTGTTTAAACAAATTATGCAAAAGTAAATAAAAAGCTTCTAAAAACTTTATTATTCAGAACAACCAAATAATAAACAATTGGGGGGCATGTTTTATTTGGGAAAGGAATGGCTTTCCTTGCATTTGAGGTTGCTTGCGTTTGAACATACGCAGTGTCTTTCTGACTTGACAGGACTCCGTTCCCATGCCCATAACATTACTGCGGTCCTAGTTATCACTTCCTACACTGTTTCCCTGCTGCAGTGTGTGCTCCTTATGACGTCCAGAAAGAAACAATGCCGGTAGAAAGAGCTTTCCTTTTTCCTTTCCCTCTAAATGATCTTTTAAAAGGAAAACCTAAATCTTTTCATGACCCTTCTGACCTAATGCTCTTCAACAGCTCTCCCATAAGCTTCTCTAGTTTTGAACACAAGGACTTCTTAAGTCTCTGTGTCCATGAACACAGTATAGTACCATTTAATGACTCTTATAGAAATAAAAGAGTTAAACAACCCCCATAGCTTCTTATTGTGTTATAGGAATTTCATGATTCTTATTATAGCACAGAAACAACATTTATTGCAATATGAAATGAAACTTCTAGTTCTTAAAGATATAGCGGTTTACACATTTTTAATGGAGCAGCAGCAGTATATAACTTTTAAAATAAGATGTTCTGGATTGGGAATCAATTTTGGGAGCATGATGCTCCCAGCAACTATCATGGCCTCACAGAAGCATGCTAGAGATGCTTACTGGGAACCTCGGCCTCTGCAGAGCACAGTTTGGCGTGCGTGCCCTTTGAGCACTAACCAGCCCACGGGATGATTCGGGCCTGAACTGAACCTAGAGGTTCTGCAGTTTTTAATTTGGTTAGCTTCACTGTATTTCCAATTAGGAAAATAAGAATTACTTTCTTTAGATCGTTATGCGTTCTTGGAAACAACAAGGCACACGGGTATGATGGCTGAACCTAGATTTCTTAGAGCATTACATAATTATTCACGTAATACATTTAAAACATCTTTTTGTGAAATTATCAAAAATACCTTGATTTTGCCTGTCCAGATCTAGCCTTAGTATTGTACTAAAAGTCAAATAAAAAAACATTTATGAGCAATTTCTAATTCTAGATAGTTCCCTGAAGAATAAGAGGAGACTAGAGTAAATGCCATCTAAAAAAATAACCAAACACCACTGGGATACAATACGGAATACTGGTATATACTGTAACAAATTACTTAGAAATAAGAACAAAAGTTGCTTGTTGTGTAGCGTTTCAGAATGATTATAGTATGGCCGTTGCCATTAAGAAAAAAAGAAGCCCAGAACGACCCGTGATAATGAGCCTGTATTAACACAAAATGGTGTATAACAGGATTGGCTTCTCTTCTCTGTTTATGACTATTTTATTTCATTAATGTCACATGGCATAACCTATATTTTATATAATTAAATATTTTGGACCCCACTTACAAGATTATGGCAAAGTTTTACCAAAAAAAAATCACAATTTTGTTTTTATCTTAATATAAAAAAATACAAAGACATAAATTAGTGGGGGCTTTTAAAAGGAAAAAAAAATGAGGGCTCACAAATAAATTTAGTTAGAACTTGATATATTTTCAAATCTCACAAATGTCTTAAAATAGACCATTTCAAGAATTTATCTTTATGTCCCATATATTTACAGAAGCTTATTTTTTATCATCCTATGTCTATCTACTAGTAAAGTTAAAATTTTATTGGCCTAACCCAAAGTGAGAAAAAAATAACTTTATTTAGTAATATACACAGAAAAAAACCTAATCTATACAATGAAGAACTCCGAAATTTGAGAGTAATAATGTTATTTGAATTAATTAAGACATAAATTCAATTAAAATACAGCTGGTGTGACGCTAATTATGACTATTTTCAATTTCAGTAATATTTATTACTTTAGACTGCATTTTACATATATATGAAGATTTTTCTGTGAAAGGGCTATACATCTGCAGATTTTTAAGAAGAATGAAAACTGGAAACTAATTTAGAAAACTTCGCCTTGATTTTGATAGCAAATAACTAGGTTCTAACTGCTTCTATTTAGTAGAAATTCAAGAAATTTACAAGTACATGAAAATAAAATGAGCTTTCATACAGTGTTAATCAAGTCATAAAGCATTTGGGTGTGTGTATCATTATACTTATGCATATAACCTTTCCCAAGTTTTTCTTGCTCACAGACATGTCTAGAGTGTGACTAAATCCTCCTGGCAACTATCTACCTCAACTGCATTCTACAATACCCCTTTTCTATTTCTTCAGCGTGATCAAAGAAACCTCCCTTTATTCAGCATTCAGCCAGGAATTTTGTGAACTTGCTTATAAACATAACCATCAATTTACTGCTTATTTTCATGGCATCTTATTAAAAGTGCTTTAAAATCTAAGGCATTTGATAGGTGGGGGCTTTCTAAATTCCTGACAAATCCCTAGCAACTCCATTTAAACAATATAAAGTGAATTGATTCACTTAATAAATCAATCTAAGTTAATTAAAAAAAAGATATATCTGAAGTTCTGATGAAAGCAAACTTCCCAGGAAACACAATATAGTCTCTTATACACAGGATTTCCATAGGAATGGGGAGGCTGAGAGGTGTCAGGTCTCTCCACGAACTGTTACCAGAGACCCCAAGGAAAAAAACCTTTTATCTAGAGAGTGGTTTACCAGAAGGGAATTATTCTAAAATTACCCAGGTTTTTCACCATTGAAAAGGATACATACATAATTACTCAAATAGCAGTTGAACAATACAAGTGTGATATAACAAATATTACCCTATAAGAAGATTATTAACGTGAATTTCATTACAAAAACTGAACTGCACAGGTAATCTCTTACTATTATACAAACTTGTCTCAGGATTTAATAATTCAGACCTTCAGAATGAAAAAAGAAAAGATGGTGCTAATTGTTCTATGTCAGAACTCAATTTCATTCTATATATATTTGAATGTGATCAATAAAAATATTAATTTTTGATGTACTAATTATGTGTTCATGATATGTCATTTTCAAGAGAATAAAGAACAATACTTAGGGAATTCTAAAAATGAAAACTGAAGATATTTATTTCTTCTTCATCATTTCTATTATTTGTTTCTAGAAGTTAAGTGAACTTTGAATTTATCTTACATTCCTGTCATTCCCTTTATGTTTGAATCTAGTACAGAAGGAAGGTGTCAAAAGAAATGCAACTCTACTGAGTGTCTAGGGAATGTAAATATTTCTCTTCCTCTGCCCCAAGGATGTTTGCCCTCATCTTGACAGTCCATGAAATCTTTGACACTGAGACCTGTCAAATATTAACAACTTTGCCTCTGCCAACAGACTCATCATTTAGACTTTTATCTTTGAAAAACAAAAACAAAAACTAAAAATAAAAAAAAAGGTTTCATGTCATCTCTCAAATTAAAATACCAAAAGATTTAAGTGATTTAAAAGCTTCACCTTTTTAGGGTGTGAACTATTCAGGTAACATACAAATTTGTAGGAAAATATGTGGAAAATAACTTTACCAGCAGTCTGACTTGACTTTAGTTGCCTAAAAATAACTCTAAGTTTTAAGAACCATAGACACTCGACATGAAAATTCTAAAATCAAAAACAAAGATATTGATTTAATATAACAATGTTTATGATCTCTTTTTGAAAAATGACATAATTTTAACTTTAGTCAGCTTCTCTCTCTGTCCATGTTTACAGAATCAACTAATCCAGTTTGGTAGTCACATCTTTCTTCTATATAGCAATACAAACTTTCCTCAAGCACTACTTATTTTTCACTCTACCCCTCAAGAACATGCATTTGTAACATTTTCAAATTCCTTCAAAAAAGCCTGTCATGAATTTGTCCCAACCTAATCCTCATTTTGAATCACTACCAATGTGCACATCTTTGTTATAGAAAAGTGAGTCTTTTGGTAGGTCCCCACACATCTCGCTAAGCTTTTGCTTCTGAACTTTCCAATGCGTTCCTTTTGAGAATTTTCTCATCAGCTTTAAACCAAGGTCTTCTTCAGATTTCTAGTTCCTAGATTCACACTTTCTCTTTCTCTACTTTTATCTAAGTTTCACTGACATTGTCAATAAGTTGAAGTATATAAATGTGACACTATTTGAAAGTTTCTGACCTACAAAAATGTCAGTTTCATAAAATTCATCCTAGGAGAAGCTAAAATTCGCATTCACTTAACCTGTATTGTTTTATAAATAGTTTCTTAGTGTGAGATATCTACCCCCAAGAAATGCTATCAGCTTCTTCTGTCAAAGAATAACAGCATGTTTTATGTCTTTGTATGTAATAGAATACACATTAATGAGTACTAGTTTCTTTGTTTTAGGAATTTCCATAGACACTTCCATTGTGATTACATTCTAAAATACCACTATGAAACACCAATCTTGATCATAAATAGGCTGTCTCATGAAATTAAAATTTAATTAAATCAATCAACAATTATGTGAACATATTTTCTCAGAACATTAAAGAAAGAGAAAAACAACCTTCAAAGACAAAACAAAACTAAACCCACTACCACAGACTTCTTTCCACTCCTCGCCATACATGATTATTTTACTTATATGATTCTCCTACTACAGCTGTACAAGCAAAGCATAATTATCTTTATTAAGGAGGAAATATCCTGTGTAGGGCTTTTATATCCAGAGGATTTAAATTAAAAAAAAATTCTTCAAAATGAAAAGCAAAATTAAATTAATTGAACTACTAATTTATGATTAATTATTATGGTAATTTGTGATATTGTATGTACTCAGCAATTGTATTTTTACAATTCTATAGAAGTTTCTTCTTACAAACCATTACCTACATGGTCCAATAATAATGAATATTAATGTATTAAATCCTTTTGGTTTAAATAGTGTAACACCTACATCTTGATTTGACATGTCCCAATAAGGTCTTTCTCCATAAGACATAACTTCCCACATGACTATTCCATAGCTCCATACATCACTGGCTGATGTGAATTTCCGGTACTGGATGGCTTCAGGTGCTGTCCACCTTACTGGAATTTTCCCACCCTGTTATAATAAGAAATCAACATTTTAAATATGTATAATAACTTATTTAAATAAATAATTTATAGCTGAACCACTGAACTATCATTAAACATCTATATATTTGTTTGGCAATTCAGCAGTATCACCCATATCCATCTTGAATCTCCCTTATGTCTATTTAAAGTTACTAGTCTGTTTTTTAAAATCATTACTAGATTTCATTTTAAGCAACTCAATGTAATGGGTCTTATGTGGTCTCAGGGCAAGAGTCAAAAAACAATGACTAATTTGGTAAGATAATTAGATGGAATGAAATATGGAATATTTAAGTAAACATTCACATATTTCCTTTTTATCTAGTCTCACAAGAGTTATAAGAATTACCATAGTTAACATTTTTTAAAAATCATTGTTTAAAAATTGAATTATAAATTATATTTTTTTGCTACAAGTATGAGTGCTGGTATGTATATTATGACATATCATTTACATGAACATCCCAATATGAGATAAGCATGTTGCCATTCTTACGATTTTCTCTCTTATCCTATATGTAGGTTGTAGAAGCAATAATGATTCTTCCAAAAGGAAAAAAAAAAGTAACAACAACAACAAAAAAGCTGAGATCAGTTTGCCTCTATTCTCCCTGTTAGTTTTGTACTACTAAAGCTTTGCTTTCTTGGGAGGAAAGTCTCAGGAATTACGAAGAGATGCAGTAATAGACTTTTTCTTACAGTCGTTGTATAGACGGCTTCTGGATCATCCTCTATAACCCGGGAAAGGCCAAAATCTGACACTTTACAAACAAGATTGCTGTTGACAAGAATATTGCGAGCTGCAAGGTCCCGGTGCACATATCCCATATCAGCCAAATATCTCATTCCAGCAGCAATCCCTCTCAGCATTCCTACTAACTGAATGACGGTAAATTGCCCATCATGTTTCTACAGGAAGACAAAAATAGAAGTCCAGTCAACTGTACTTTGAAAGGGAAAAAAAATCATCATGAAAATTATCTGCACATTAGTCATTTACTGTTGCATAACAGTAACTATTAATTAATTTTTCACAGACATTTGTGAAAAATGTAACAAATGTTGATTTAACTGATAGTCAAATACAAAAATGGAGTTTTGGTAATCAGATATGTATAATGATATGTTATTAATATTAATCATAGTTTCAGATGATACAAATACAAAAGTATACGCTAAATTTTTAGGTGAAAGTTAGGGGATGGAATTCCAAACATATCCCTGACAGCTAAGTGTTTTCCTCACTAGCTATAAAATTATATAAATTACCCAAAAATATAAAGGTGTGAATAAACATATATTAAAATATTTTCTACCAATGGTAAAAAAAAGGGGGATAGATTTTTGATTAAAGATAAACTAAAAAATGATTATATTGGCTCACTTTATTCTCATTTTACAATTTTTCCTGTTTTGTTGTTAGCAGAAAAATTAGTTGCAACAAAGAGTCTCTAAAATAGATGTACTAGCACATTGGACTGGAGAACCTATTTGTAGCTCGACTGACTATCATATATTTACTAACCGCAGGTGTCTCCAACTGAATTACAAATAGGGTGCATGAGGCCACTGGTTTGAGTTGATTAACTTGCTAGGTGATGCTTTCCTCCAGAGAGCTGCTAGTTAAGCATGTCATAAAGATGCAGCAATGCAAATTTCTCTGTCTTCTGAATGTGTGTAAGTCTAGGTTGAATGTATCATTCTAGATAATGTATGATAACTCTGCATATCCTGGTATTGCTTAGATTATTTTCTCTTTGCCAGTAAAAAAATGTTAACATGTACTCATATTCTTAGGTGAAAGTCTCTGAGAATAAAATCACAAATGTTTATATACTTAGAATATGTCATTTATAAAAATAACCAAATACTATTAATTTAAAAAGTGTTAACGACTCTATGCTCAATATTTACCTAACAATATACATGGTCCCAAAGAGCAGAACTCAGATCATAGAGCCAACATTAAGTGGTTACTTCACACTTTGTTTTTCTTTGTATCACTTCTGCATGTATAGTTGTACTACAGAAGTAAAATGCTACTCTCTGCCCTGTATCAAATTACAAGGCTTCAAATATCTTCTACTTGAGATAACATATTAACAGAAACTATTTTTGTTAGGTACGTTGTATCAGTTACATAATCAAAAAGCCTGTAGTTCAATATAGTCTAAAACTCTGGTTTTTAATCTGCTTTTCAAAGACAACTTTCTAACTTATTAAAGTTTATAATGCTCACATTTTGCACTGCAAAAAAGAAAAGTTCAGGAAATTATTTTGGTTGCATATATATAATATATTTAGAAGGGAAGAATAATTTTGCTACTTACCCTGAGAAATGCATCTAGGGCTCCATTTTCCATGAATTCTATTACAATCATGACAGGTTTCCCTAAAATTAAAAATATATATATGTAAGAAAATAAAAGTGTTGCTTCAGAAACTACAACCTCAACTTTAGGGTTATTCCTTTTTTCATCCCAGATAAAACACATAGTGTCATTTAGAAAGACTCAATGTGTGAGCTATGAGTGTTTCAAATATTTCCAGTGCGCCGCTAAGGTCAAAGAGTCATTAAATGTCTGGAACATGGTCACGAGTCATAAAGTTTAACAATAAAAATCAGTGTGTTCTTCTGACTCCTTCTTTGTGAACAAAACTCAGAGAAAATGACACTTTATATATAAAATGTGAAGACTAAACTGTATCACTTTTATGGCTTTTGAGCTACATGAGAATATTTATCAGTTGCTTTGTCTATCAGATTTACCTTTAATTCTAATCCTGCATCATTTGATTTTTTTTTTCCTGAGGTGGTGACACAAAAGAACTGTTTAGTTAGTTCATACCAAGAACAACATTCATTAGAAAATGCACCATGTTCATAATTTTGATTTTTTATTTTGTATGAAATGACACCAATTTCTGACAGTCCACTTGATAAATGAAAGAAATAATCAATATCTACCTCTTGTAACAACCCCTTCCAAATGGACAACATTTGGATGGTCAAACTGCCCCATGATGCTTGCTTCACATAGAAAGTCTCTGCGTTGTTTTTCTGTGTAACCAACTTTCAGGGTTTTTATGGCTACAGCAACATCTCTTTTCCCTGGAAGTTTCAAACGACCACTGCAGACTTCTCCAAATTCTCCTGAAGTAAGAGAACAGGCAGATGCATTTTAATTTAAGAAATATTTCCTCTCTTAGAGTAAATGTAAACAAGTCTTTAAGAGCACCTTTAAGCTTTTCTAAACTATCTGTTACACAAGGTACTATTTTATTTTATTTTCGTCATCACCATTTATCCCACCTTTACCCTCTTCCATGTCCACCCACCCCCGTCTCCCCCACAACCACCACACCGTTGTCTGTGTCTATGACTTCTTTCTCTTTTTTCCCCCTTTTTGTTTAATCCCTCACACCCAGCACATTCCCTAGAGCTGTCAGCCTGTCTCTGAGTCTGTGTCTCTATTTTGCTTGATAGTCCGGGTTGTTCATTAGATTCCACATATGAGTGAAATCATATACTTGTCTTGCTCTCACTGGCTTAGCAAGTATTTTTAACCAAATTAACAAAAACTCTTTCTAGGAACAAAATTTAGATTTGAAATATGTTGTATAATATACGTATACTGCCTTCTAAAGGTAAGAGCACATCGCAAATTCTAAACATTGCCTCTCCTTTTATTGTTTAAGGAGCAAATGGTTTTTAAAGAATTAAGAGTCTGGAATTCATACGCACTATGACTGCTAAATTGAAGACAGGTGGAATGAAAAATGTAAAATTATTATATAAGCACATTGTATTCAAAGAAACTAATATTCCCTTTAAATAATTCATACATATTAATTTTCTATATGGAATTAAATAGTACAAGGGCTACCTAATACCTATAAATACAAGAAAAAAGTATAAAAATGAAAGCTTAGTAAGAAGATGGTAAATCAAGAAAGAGGAAATGTATTCCAACAAAATTATGACACATTTAAATTTTTTAGAATACTACATCTTTTCTTAAACAACAGGCCAAAAACTCGAAAAAACAGGTTATGAAAAAAACCGTATTTTAAAAACCTAGCAGAAGACCAAAGATACACAGATTATCTGTGCCACATGCTTCTCTTTTTACTTTTTTTTCTTAAGATTTCATAAACAAGTTCAGCCTCTTGTTTCCAACAGTTCAGGTAAATGTAAAAGTCCTATACTTGAGGTATAATTATTTGCCTGTCATTATGATGTATGACTTTCGATCTTGGCTAAATGGAATAGCTGAATAAGGAAGCTACAACAGCCTTACCTGCACCAATCACACGCTCAATTTTAATACAGGAGGCATCTAGCTCCTTGGCGAATTGATGGACAGCTCTATTTGGGTCTTCATAGGTTTCAGGGTCAATGTAGGTTTTGGTGCCTGGAAATTTAACTGTAATGATGTAAGAAAGCATGACTGTGATGAAGCAAAGCACTTATTGTGCAGTCAGCCCAGGAATGTCATTATGCAGAGTGCTCCTTGGAACAGTGAACTTGCTTCCACATCACCTGATTCACAGCACTTTTAACAGACTACTTCAGCCTGTTGGTGTATAGGTATTATCTGCAAGCTTCTATAGGTAACATAGGATCCAGCTCATAGGTTACTAACTGAGTTGCTTTTCCAGTAAATCAACAAAAGACATCATCAAAATTCTCTGACATGACTTATCAGACTGGAGGTTTAATTAAATTCACTGCTATCACAGCACAGTTCAAGCCATATTGAAGTTTGTAATGGACTTGGAAACACATTTGTAAATCTGTAAGTCAGTCAATCAATCAAATACATACACTGGGAAAAGAAGACATTTCATATACAGGTAGCTTACTACACTGACAGCAATATTAAAAACATTTAGACATCTTACTTATTCTTTTGATTTATTTTTTAAAGACCAACCACCGTTGACATATACATAAAATTAATACAAGATATGAGGGTTGCTATCACAGTCTCAGAGAGAAATATACTAAAAACACAGTTTCATTTTTACCTTACAGGGCAATAGAGGCCAGATGTACAAAGTCCAGAATAAAGTTAGAAAATTTACAATATTCCTGGGATCTGCTAACCACGTATGACACAATTTGAAAGAGAAGTGGTTCATATAAACTTTCAATTATAAGGCTCTGGAGGGAGGCAGCCAATATGCCTCAGAAAAGGTAGTCAAGATTCAAACAACATAGAGTCATAAAAGTTGCAAAAGTTAAAAATCTTCTTAAAATGCACCCAGAAGCATGCAGGTAACAGAAAATACTATGTTAACTTTAAATCAAATTCAATTACAATAATGTATTCCAATCAGTCACTTGGTTAAAGACAAAGATAAGATAAATAAGCATGTATTTGGTTATATTAATGCAATGAAAAGAATTACACTATATCCTCAAAAACACTTTATTGTTTTTAACAAAGCCACTGAACAATCTTTTCATTAAATCTTACTATTTGGAGAACAATATATTTCTTTATGTATTACACTGCAGCCTAACTCTGCTTATGTCATCACATTAACTTAAAATTATATTTTAAAAATAAACACATAACAAACAAAAAGAAGCAGAATGTCTAAAGGAAAATGGGACTTAAAAATCTTGATTTATTCTGCTGTAGTTGGTTGTTTATCCAAAATTGATTGTCTTAAACAATTATTGTTGCAGTTTATAAAACTGACAGATGCTCATTTGTTACTAAAGCTGAACATGAAAAAAAAAACACAAGAAGAAAAGAGAGAGGGGATAGAAAGAGAAAAGAGAGAAGAAGGAGTACAGGGAAGAGGGGGGAAGAGAGAAAGAGAGAAGGGAAGAAAACAATAGGTTAACCTCCTAGATCGGCAGGCAGATGGAGAATGAGCCATCTTCTCTCCTTTTATTCTCTTTCCTATTTTTTCTGTTTGTTTTGTTTTGCTTTGTGATAAGGGAGCTAGAGTGGAGGTAACCTTCTGCATCTCAAACGGGGTCTCTGATGGTTCTTTATTCAAGTTGTCATAAAACATTTTGACAGGCCAGAGCAATTTTGGCATAAAAACATGAAATACTGCCCAGCTTGGATTCAAAGACATTGTTAGAAGAAATGGTAGGAGGAAACAAAATGTAAATTGGAATTGCTTCACTAAACTCCTCCATTGTGTTTATATCTTTAAATGTAGCACTTGGGGCCATGGAGAGTTGAGGGTGCCTGCTACAAATGACTGGACATTCTATTAAATTCAGTGCTCTAAAAAGGTAGCGAAATGGTTGCTTTCATGTTTCCATAAAAATCCAATCTGGTGTCTTAGCACCTGAGAAAATTGTTTGTATACTAAAGCAATAAAAGGACACCAACTTGTAAATAGCTGGTGACCATAGTATTGTACTTAACATTTTTTAGATACAGTCATAAAATCAAATAAAATGCCTGGTCTCGTCAAATGATAAAAAAAGATATCCTGTAAAAAGGGTGATTCAAAAATATCAAGGACTTACCGGAATAGGATATGTTAAGTCCACTTTGTTTCATTATTCATTTAAAATGGAGTTTTAAAATAAAAAATATTGACATAATTTCTGAATATCCTAGTCTGTAGCTTATCTCAATTTAAGTCTGTGAGCTTTTTTGTGTTTTAGTAGCTAATTTACATTTCTCATGAATGTTAAATATCTTAAAACCACCATTGATATTTTTGCTCTATAGATGAAAACTGTATTCATCAAGCTAATCTTGTCTATGTTAGCAAGTAAAACAGGCAGCTTTATTTTTTTTCTAATTACAGACTTAATGTCAAATGTAAAAGAAGCAAATGGCATTAAAATATTAAAATTGAGTGATGACAAGCATAAGGTTATGCAAGTTTTACAGAAGCCATATTTCAATTAAACTTCTGCAATAACCTGAAAGCTAAAACCAAGTAAACTAAAATGTATTTGATAATTCAGAGATGTCTCAGGCATACTCAGTAAAAGAAACAAAAGTGACATACTGATTAAAGAAATATTAGATGATTCTGCCATCAAATTATTCACATGTGGGCAGAATCAGGGATTCCAGGAACTACAGTTTTATGTTACTCTTCTATGTACTTTTTAAACCGGAGATAAAAATTTAGGCATTCAAGTTGGGATTCTCTTCTTCCTGTCTGAGGAAGTGTTAAAAATGATTCCTCAGGTCATGAGAAAGAGGAAAAAAAGTAACTCGCATTTTTTTTTTCTGTACATCCTCTAAGTAAAACCTGCCTATGGCGTTCTCATCACTGAGGCTCACTCGTCACAGGCAAATCGCTGCTGTGCTAGCAAAAGGAGGCACAAACATTGGGAGCAGATCAAGTACTCCCAGAGGGGGAGGTAATGGAATCTCATTTATTCAGCCAGAATCACAGGGAGATTTCAGTTTTATGAGGCTTGAACCTTTTACAATTGGGATACCTTCCTAAAGTAAAAAAAGATCACACCACAAAATTGCTAGCGCTGTACCAGATCCTTAACAGGGGTTCTGTAAAAGTGAGAGGCCCTGGAGCTTCAACTTTGTAATAAAGCCATTTCTGGTCAAACCATTTACTTTAATTTGCAGTGTCCCCAATAACTTTCCTGCCTTCAGAGGTTGGAATTCTAGAGTTTCATAATCAATGTAGATTATCTAGACCTACTTTTATTTTGAAAACTAAAGTCATGGTAACTGTTAGTTCAACAAATAAAAACACATTAAAGAAACTGAGGAATAATAATAATAGCATTTACAATTTTTGTTTTTGAACACATTTTCTTGATTGATGCTTATATAATATTCTAACTTTAGAATGGATACATGACATGTCTTCTTAGATACTGACATAATGATTTAATAAATAACACAGTTATAGATATAATTCTTAGGCCATTTAAGAAATTTAGCTATGAAAAGTTCTAGTAAAGTTTATTGCTACTAAGAAAAATAATAAAAGTGTTCTTAATAGTTTCAAGGATTATCATAACTAAAATCATTTGACTGTTAGGTTTTTACTTTGGCTATCATTTCTTTCACTTGCCATCCACGTTGAACAAGAATAAGAGTAATGTAGATGGACATCTATTTTCTTTGGTTCCCTAAGCTCTCTTCTAAATATGGTTTCTAAAACAAATGGTGAAGAATCAGGTAACCCAAATCCACATTAAAACATTGGAGGATTAAAACTCATTATTATACCTTTGGTGTCTGGTAAAAGCATCTGCCAGGGGTAGACAATGTATAGTAGCTGAGGAGAAAGAGGTTCCTTAGCTTTTCAAGGTAGCATCACTCATTGGGTGAGAAATCCTAATTTGAAATGAATTCCTTAGCTAGGACACGGGTCATGCAAAATTTAATGGGTCATTATTGGAATAGTAGGAAACATTTGGTCAAAGTTTGCAAAAGGAAAAATTGTGACATTAAAGCAGCTTAATATCCTATGGTTATATTAAAATTTCTTATGAGGTTACATTTCAGAATATATTTTATTTTTTTAAAAATTCACACTATATGACTTTCATTCTTGTCAAATGCTTTAAGCAATACTTTGAGCTCATTATGTAATTTCAAGGATGATGCTTTAGGAATTTTTGTCATGCCAATATTAACAACCAGGTCCCTGTATTAACTGGGATATATAAAAGTAAAGAAAAACCAAACACTTACAATGAAAGTAAAGCTCTTCATCTCCTTCTTGGTCAGCTTTGCTATAACCACAGTGCCTGAAAAAATCAAATTTGTGACAGGCACAATCAATAATCTCACTTCATATATTTAAAATTATGTAAAATATACCTTAAGTGTTTTATAACATGCTAGTTAGATCTAAAAACTTCCTGCCTAGTTATAACCTAATAATAATATAGCAATTCATATGACTTAAAAAGGCACAGAATATAAAGTATTCATGCAAGACGATGTAGAAAAAACATATTTTGTACTCTAGATTTATCAGTGAGTTAATGTTATCTTAAACTTTTTTTTCTGGAAAACAACAACAGATTCTAAATAGCTTCCACAAATATTAACTAAAAGAATAAATTTACTCAATCAAAATTACACTACTTATCCTCTTAAACTAAAGGCAATAATTAAGCTCAAAGTGTATTTTGACTTTGGGAGTTAAGTTTTTAAACTTAATGTTTCTTATCAGACAAAGGATGTTTGCATCCACTATTCTATTGCACTAACCAATAAATAATGGGGAACAAAATTCTGAAAAATTTTGTCTTAGAGGTTAGAAGAAATTTGTGTTCTACCTCCTTCCAATGATGAAGCCAAAGACCATGAACACCAGAATGATGGTCCCTGCTACTGCAACCACTGCGATGATAATGACGGGGTTCTGTTCACTGGAGACAGCTGTAGCTGCAAACAGAGGACACAGGCTCAGACACCCTCCTACTGTGCAAGAGCTTGAGAGGTTACACAAAATCTTACCAACAAGAGACATCTGTGCTATGGAATGCACCTCTAATTTTAAATAAATGCATTATATTGTAACAATATAAATTTAAATGTTTAGTTTTGCTTGTTAAAGAAGTGGTAAGGACAATACTCTCATCTATTTTATATTCCTCAGCTATAAAAATGAAACCTATAATGAATGAATGCCTATCTCCTGCTTATTTGTTGGAAACTTAGTTATGAATCCGAGGTAGAGATCTTTGATCTATAAGTGCTATTAAATCCTTTCTTAGCAAGGTATGTGGTACACATGTCTGTTTTTCTGGAATATAAAAAAGGAATCAAAATACATACTCTCTGCATTTTTCAAAGCACCTTAAGTGCTTTATCTTTCATATTTTCAATATAAAATAAAAATCATCATGCGGTCATAGTAAATCATCATGAATTTACAATGTACCATAATTAAGGGAGAAGAGCTGAATTACTTTTATTAACTTGACAAAGTATGCAATATTCACATACGAGAGTTTATAGAGGAGGTTAGCTATTTATGCAAGAGCAAATTTTTGCCAAGTTCTTTAAAAACACTTCAGCATTACCTAATTGTAGACACTTCCTGGACAATGCTAAGTGATTCTTCTATGCTTATTAAGGCAAGCCCAGGTGGCCTTTCTGAGAGTCTCTTTGGGAAGAATATATGTTTACATGTCCTTTACAGCAGCCTCTGATTCCAATTCTTCATCAAGTTACACGGTCTTCCCACTTCTGTTTTCCACATTAGTGGTTTTACTTATAATGTAATTTGCAATCGTCTTATTTTCCCCAGAGTATATTCTCAATGCCACTATAAATTTCATAAAATAATCAAAGCAATATAAAACAATAAAAATGGATAGTGTAATAAATGATTCAATTTCAGATATCATATATAAGTTCAAACTAATAGTTTGCTTATTTCTGAAACAATCAATGGCTATAATCTGTAACTTACGGCAGGATGGAAAATACTAGTCGTCCTTTCTGGTGGCAAGGGACTGGGTCTCCAGAGCAGTAAATTATAGGTAGGCAGAGTTGTGTCTCACCACAATAGGCAGTGTCAAGTTTTTTTTTTTCCTTTAGTTTATCTATGTCTTCCTCCTTTTGATAACTCATCTTTTAACTTTGTATACCTATGCTAACTATAGACAGCTTTTGCACTGAAAAACAGTATCAATAGCTCTGATGTAATAGCTTCTGAATGAAGGTATTTGTGACACTCCCCCATTCAGCACCTATTGATTTACTCCCCAAGGGAACTAATTTAAGGAGGAAAAATACTTTTAAGCTTTCTTTCTGAATTACAACTTATTATGATTCAACAAAGAAAAAATGACTTCAACTATTTTTGTTTTTTAGTTTGGTCGTTTATTGTTTTTATCTGTGTTTTTTTAATGTCTATTGAGAGGAAAAAGAATGGAGTAGTTGGTTCACGACCAAGGAAAAATTATATATATATAATTTTTTATCTATATATCTGTGGAACTTGTTTCCTTTCAATGAGTACGTTTCAAGGGTCTAATCCTTTGCGTGTCTTAGGTTCAGTTCTACCCTTAGCCTGAGAAACAGAACTCCAGTGAGAAAATGAATTCAGGTAAATGATGAAATAGAATTTGTGAAAATTATATATTATATATTTTATATATTTATATATAGCTATACACACACACATGCTTTAATCTTTCTATGACCAACATTTATGGTTAATATTTTCATCCATTTTATGGGTAATAAAATTTAAAACTAATTTCTAAGTGCCATGATGAACATCCCATGGTTTAAAAATTGTAAAAACAGTAGCTGACTTTGGATAGAAGGGGCTTCTAAATGTATGTGCAATGAAGCAACCTGTTTAACTTCTCTTGTCAAACAGTGCTCAAGAGACTTCTCTTTGTTGGCTTCTTCCCTTTTGCCTTTCTTCCAGCACCGTGAGTCAATGTTTCTGACACCCTGATAGTGTTGGGCCATGTACTCCACCAGCATTTACCTGCGTGGCCAGGTAACACTTCAGCATTACCTAATTGTAGACACTTCCTGGACAATGCTAAGTGATTCTTCTATGCTTATTAAGGCAAGCCCAGGTGGCCTTTCTGAGAGTCTCTTTGGGAAGAATATATGTTTACATGTCCTTTACAGCAGCCTCTGATTCCAATTCTTCATCAACTTTCACTAAACTTTCCCTAAGGTTTAAATTGAAAGTATCAACTGTATCATGTGTCTGTGCATCTCTAATTCTTAGCACAGTACCTTGTGCTAAAGCAGTATTTCTCAAAGGGTGGTCTGGGAACACTTGATGATCCCTCAAGAGCTCTCCAGGGGATCTGCATGGTCAAAACTATTTTCATATATCATGATATCATTTGACTTTTTCACTCCTATATGCTCACAAGTGCATAGTTTTCCAGAAGTTATATGACATGGGATGACGTCATCACTCTGATGGCCAATGAAATGTGTTTGTGTGTTTTAAAAATTTCTTAGTTTTACTTTCTAACATGATGAATATTGAGAGATATAATCGAAGTAATCTCAACATTCTTGGGGATTCTCAATATTTTAATAGCCTATAAGAGTTCCTGAGACCAAAAAGTTTGAAATGGTTGTGCTAAATAATAAAAGCTGACAGTTGAGACTGTCTGTGTGCTGGGCACTGTCCTTGGCGCTTTGTGTACATTAATTCAGGGGTCCCCAGCCCCTGGGCATTGGAATATACTAGTCCATGGCCTGTTAGGGGCTGCAGCGTTAATTCACTGAATCCTCAGACTGCCTTGCAAGTAGGGTCTGGAGAAGCAGTTCATCCAAAGTCCTGCAACTGGACATGGTAGAGCTGAGATGTGAAACCTGGAATATGTCTACTCTCACTGATTGATACTGATCATCTGCTCTAAATTCATGGCTGTGAGGTACTCATTCTTTGATTATTTATTGAGTGCCTTCTATGAGTCAAGCACTATAGCAGGCACTGGCAAGACAATAGTAAGAAAAGGCGATACGGTCATTCTTTCATCTACTTACATTCCAGTGTAAGAGAATATTCTTACGCTAAAAATCCCCACATTCTTCAAATGGAAAAATCCATTTTTAACATTTATTTTATGTGATCATTCAGGTTCCACTACTTCATCTTGATCTCTTTGAGTCTTATTTATTTCATTTTAAATAATGAAAATAATATATATGAATCTCAGCACACAATAAACAATAGTTTAGAAAGTTTTCAAACCTATTTGGAAAATATTCTAAGACCAATTTTGAAAACTATTTTGAAAATATAGTCAAACATATTATGAAAATATTTTGCAAATTTTCACATCTAAAGTTTTAATTGATAAAAAATGTAGGAAAATGTGAGATAACTACTTGATGTTTTAAATTTAAGTTTAAATTATTCACTAGAATAGATGAAAATGAAAAACATCATTTGAAATGTTTCATTATATTAGAAATCACAAACATCATAATGTCAATCAAAGACAAAGACTACAAGAACACAGTTAACACAAGACCACTCAAATGTTTAAATGTTGAAATCTTGTGTAAACAACAACAACAACAAAATTCTTTAATGTTTTTGGGGTTATTGAACTTATTCTCATTTTGAACCTTTTTAAAACTCCATTCAAAAGTAATAAGGAATAATGGCGTTGATTTTATAACACCAAATTATGTGACTTTTTAAAAATCGATGCTTTTGTGTCTATAATCATAACCTCAGCTAGCCAAAGAACCAGCAGTGATACTGTTCTGAACTTGCCCTCTGACGATAAACTAGGACATCAACCCAAGATTCTCTGCTTATTTGCAATACACTATAGACACATGTATTGTGTTCCTATGTTGCATTATAAAACATAAGCAAAATGATAAAGGAGATTCAATATATTTGTGACATTTTATTTTTAAGCTGTGTGGTAGATAGAGGGATACTCATTTAGATATGCTTAAATTTCACATATACTTTCAATATGTTCTTTAGTATGCTTGAAATTCTTCACAAGAAGTGAAAAAGAAATGATTAAAATAAAGATAAATGTGGTTCTAAGATCTTCTTGAACTCAGTCTTTGAAAACCTTGCTAAAAGGCAAGTCACTTAAATCGACACAAATTCTTACATATGATCTTCCTCTGGCCCACCCAGGTGTACATCCTGGCTTTGCTTGTGGTTTCCATAAAGGAGCACTTTTGACCGACACAACTGGAATAAATTCATTTTGGGGTCTACAAAACCACCCTGTGCCAACACACAACTGAATAAGCCCTGCTTCTGTTTCTAACTTTGTTTTTTTCAAGTAAACCCAGTATGTATTAAAGAGACTAATTTAAATCATGAGTTTCTAAGACTGCAAAACAAAACAGCACATTTTATATTATTATTCTAAGTAACCTTTACAAAGTATATAATGTGCATATATAATCACCCTCAAAAGTAAAAATTATCTCGAACAAAATCACCCACACCCAAAATTTAAAAAACTGCCAGTTATAGAGAGTAAAAATCCAAATCAAAGGTGGTAATTACCTTCAAACATTTTACCTGTAGCTTCCTCTAGTGTAGCAACATCAAGTCTGGGACTGTAATTTCCATAGCCAGCAGCAGTGAAAGCCCGAATCTGGAAAACATATACTGTTCCTGGCTTCAGGTTATTAATGGAGGCTGAAGTGGACTTGGTTTTTAGTGTCGAATAGGTACGTTCCCTTTGATCCTAGAAACGATATATGTAGAGAGTATATTTAATTGTGATTGCAACCAGGCAGTTTGACAGCCAATTTTTGAAATTTATTTCAATTTGCGGCATTGTTATTATAAAGGCTATATTGTATACTCTGTGGAATATTGTAGCATTGAGTTGTTTCTCAGATAATATAAAATGTAAATGTGAACACATGCCTTTCTTCTATAAATTTCAAAGAGACATAATTTTGTTAACACAGTTGTAATATTTTGAGCTATTCTTTTGCTGGTAGAGGGCATAGTGGCAAGAGGTATTGCAAAAAGAAAATCAAATGTCCTCATGACCAAGACATGGGTATTCTTGTAAAATCTATGGATTAGTAGATAGAGGTCTTCACTTTATAATATGGTTCTTTTAATATTTTTACTAAATGTCATTCAGCAAGTAAAAAAAGTGCTAAAAATGAAGAAAGCTATTAAGTGAATTTAGCTAACACCACTATCATAGTACACTGATTTTCAACCAGTGTGCTGCAAGAATTTTTAAAACATACAACACCTGACTATTTAGTCAGGGGCTTTGATCTGTTTTCTCTTAGACTGTCAAATAAGAAAATGACAACAGCCAACAGAGCAATAGCCATAAAGTGTGAATGTCCTGTCTTTATATCTATAGATATAGAATATACATCTATAGATACATGTCATGTAATAGAGTTGCATCTTATTGGTCATGTAGCAGATGGTAAAGTTGTGTCAGCTAATTCTTGGTAACAGAAATCCTTATATACAAGTAAAGGCACTTAATTTTTATAAAATGTCACACCGGAACAAAAAGGGTAGAAAATTTCATTATTATTTTTTGTAAATTGTCAATCAAAATTATACCAATTTTTTGTCAGATCAGCAGAAAATATATTTTTGGTATGCTGCAGAAGTTTAATAATTATATGTACCAAGAGAGGAAAAGGTTGAAAATCACTGCCATATCAATTGTTTTCATTAAAAAACTGCATTTCTAACAGAATAAAACCATTCTTACAATATAGTATTTTAAAAAATACTTTAGCCTGGGCAGGCAGCTTAGTAGGTTAGAGCATTGTCCCAATATGCCAAGGTTGATGGTTCAATCACTGGTCAGGTCTCATATAAGAATCAACCAATAAAGACATAAATGAGTGAACAACTAATTGATCTTTCTCGCCCTTTTTCTCTTAAATCAATCAATAAATTAAAACAATTTATAAAATAAATATTTTAAATTAAAAGTATCAATATTAAAGTAATATATGTTTTTGGTATGACAATATTTTAAATATAGCTTAGTTCAATTTCCTTATTTTTCAGATATGTACACAGACTTGCAGAGTTTAAAAATGTTTATTGCATCATATATGATAAGCCTTAGAACTAAAAACATTAAAAAATTCAATAATATATAATTCCATAAAAACAAGAGTCAAATAAATAAAAACTTAAAGCTTAATTGATATTCCTCTAATAATCTATTTATGAAAAAAGTAATAAAAATACTCATCTAAATATACAATTTTAGGCAGTTTTTAATTTGTTCTATATTAAATTCCTGTGCTCAACTATGACTGTCAATAACTACTCACTGAACTCTGAAAATGTCAGTCTCATTGTTTGGTTTGTCTTTAGCCTGGCATTTACAGAAGTATAAATAAATTTATATTTAAACTGGATTTAATGAAACTGACTTGTGATTGTATTCTTTATAATCATTCATAAAAAATAGTTGGTATAATAAATATATGTTTATCTAAAAAAAACTAGGCATAACTGACACTAGACGACAATGATATACATATATGTAGATTATATGCAGACACATATTACAATGCAATAAATTATTCTCCTTTAATGATTGCCTAATGTGTAAGTTCAGCAAATGTAGGTACATTTTGTTTCTATCATGCAAAATAGGAAAGTAACTATTTGAACAAATTTATTCCAGACTAAGGAACAGAAAAATATTTTTTCCATTGTGATACTTCACTTTCATTTACCATGTAACTTACATTTAAAAAATGTTTTTATTGCTTTTGAAATCTGATGAAATTTCAGAAGGGACTACAACTGTTAGAACTCATTGTAAAACAGACATAAAACCAACATTAAAAACAAGCATTCCCTGAGAAATACATTTGATGGGATAAAAAATATGTTCCCTTGTACAAAATGAGGTATTTAAAATGTAACTTTGGCAGTGGAAGTCATAAATTTATAACGGAAAAAATAAGTCAAAATATTATAAACTTAATCTGAACATTGAAACTAATCTTAAACTATCTGTTTTTTCCTCAAAGGGAAAACATTATCTATTGTCAATGCACTATGTGCATACTATTTATTCAATCAAGTCGATCAGTTCCAAGATTTCCCAAAGCTTGACTCTCCTATTTTGAAATGCTGTTAACTGCTTAAAATGGTTTATGTATATTACAGCACTTCAGCTAACTCATGTAAATCCATAATAATAACACTTATTATTACTGTTACTACTGGAATAACAATAGTTTCCATGTTTCAAAGCTTGAACCAGGTCCTTCTGTGGGGTAGAGCTTACACAATAATTTGTGACCAGGATGCACCAGGCTCCCACTCTCTCCTGATGGGTCAGAAAACAAGCACTCATATGCTCAGATACATCGGTATTTATTAAAGCTTAGTCATTATGGAGATCAAAGGGGCAGCACTTAGATTTTAACAATACGATTTTCCATGGAGAGAGGAGTGTAAAGATGTGGTGTTGGACATGATTAACAAAACATATTTGAACTATATTTCAGGAGGAATTTAAAGGAGTGGAAGAGCATCATCCAATTCTAAAGTTTAGAGACTACTACAAAGTTATTGCAGAAAATATAACTATATTTTCAAATTACAAAATAATCTGAGGCTACAATTGCTATCATTAAAACCACATAGATAAAATAAATCATTAAAAGCTCAGCCATCCTAAAAGAAACATGTTCCAAAGACGCATCGGGCTGTGTGGCTTCTGTGCTACTAAAACATCCTCCACCTAATTATTAAGATTTCATAAACCGAATAAATGAACACGTTACTAGTGGGATATTTTCATTTGTGTAATTTAATACACAGAAATTATAATTATAATAATGAACCAGAGATTCAGGGAGACAGTTATCAAAATTGGCTAGAATTAACTATGAATTTTGAAGTACCGTCAAATAGTTGGCATAATGACCAACTTTAGTCTACAGAGCAGTAGGATGACATGAGACACACTGCACCTCCTTGTGCATTTCCTGTTTTCCGCACTTACTTTCTCGTAATACTTGATTTCATATTCGGTGATGACTCCATTGGGATGCTCTGGTTCCTGCCAGGAAAGCTCGACACTCCGCTGTAGCACTCTCTCCTTCATTACTCCGCTCACTTGCGAGGGAGCTGTTTGGACAAGATGTGTCAATAAACAATGAGAAAATTCACTGGATGCCTCAAATCAAATGTCACAACTGATCAGTCCCATGCTGTGCCAGTTTCATTAAGGTAAAAGAAAGCACCTTTTCATAGCTCACAATTCAGAAGCTAATGAATATTCAAACAGGACCTTATTACTGTTCATAAACCTTAATAGGAATTTAAATTAAAGTGCAAACAGCAGAAGATAGCATTGTTCAAGTTAGTGAAAAATGGAAATGATGGGGCTGAGAATGACAATTAAGCAAATGAATGCTAATTAAGGCTACAAAATATGATTTCAGATTAATCTCCATTGATAAACTAAGTCCAAATATTTATTTCACATGCAACAGCAATACACTTTAAAAATAATTTAATTTCATCCAAGAAAAAGTGTATGAAATGGCTACTTTAATCTCCAGTTAAAGGGATCACACTTCTTAAAAATGTTTTCATGTTTCATGTGTGTGTATTCCCAAGAATTCCAATTAACCTGGGAAAAAAAAATTTTAGACTCCATTTTGTCAAGGGCAAGAAAATGCTAGAGCAGCTGCTATTTAATATGTATGTAAAAAAACCACATACGTACCCCCGCATATGTGATTTATACTTATGTAACCTAGGCTTCAAGCTTTGATAAAAGCAGCTCAAACTACACTTTTGCTTTCTTTCTATATTGATAATAACATGCTTAGTGTTCTTTCATCCTAATTAGTGGCATATACTCCTTTTGGTAGCTAAGGCTGTGGAATGCAGCAAACTAATTTGCTCTGTCTAATTTGCTCAGTGATGATTAACTAGTTGTCTTCTCTGTCTAAATGAGTAGCTGCACTGGCTTGGCTGAATTTCAGTGGGGTCATTATGTTCCATGTATCATGCTCTATCTCATTTTGTAAAATATTTTCAGGCTGTTAATTTAATTTTCAGATGTCCAAATTTGTTAATAATCCTGCTGACAGAAAAGCAATTATATGGGGCCAAAGCTGTTTAAGCAAGATTCTGATGTTTATCCCTTTGGCTTTATTTTGTTTCTTCTACTTTTAAAAATATTTTCTTTTATCAATGTCTAGGAAAAAAAAACCATTTTTCACTTCTTTCTGGCTTGGCGGCCGTAAGGGAAGGCCATGGAAGATGCATGACTCCCATTTCCTCTCAGATTACTAACAAAAGCATAACTAGGTAAGATTAAGTGAAACAACTTTCGCTTTTGGGGGATGCAGCTGAAGTACTTAACGCACTGTGTTTACAGAATAAATGTGTTTCTGATGTGTTTCCAATGAAGCAAATTTCTAATAAGAAATACTATTTTTGCCACAATTTTTAAAACCCAAATATATGCAGTGAAGGAAAACTGGTTTCTAAAGTGATTTGCCTCTCCACCCAGAACATGCTTAGCATATCTCAGTCCACTGTGATGTTCACAAGGCCGCTTCCTCAAGCCACACCCCTGGCAAACAAACCCCAAATAAGTGCAAGGTGAAGTTCTGTGTAGAAAATAATCTATGATAGTCTAATTTACTTAAAATCATTCAGAAAAATATGTATTTTAACTGTAATTAATAAAAAAGAGACTGTATCACAGGTAAGATTACAGTAATAGTCGTCGCATGTGATGACCCAATAAAGCTGCGGGTTTACAACATGATGTGTGCCATGGGGAAATGGGTTAGCTGAAAGTAGATTAGAGAGCTCGTAGGTACCAATCTCTAGGTCTCCATCAAATAGCACACATAGCTTAATGTGATTTCCAGGTAAGTCAAACTGTAAGGCATTTTGATTAGTTTCTGTCTTTAAATATTAAGGTGAAGAAGGCAGGAGAACTTAATTCTCCAAGATATGGAGGAGACTTGGTGTATAAATCTATCCCATTTACTTTCTACGTTGCAGCCAGATCTCAGTAAAGAATGAGACTTGATTTGTGCAAGTTATACACTAAAATTATATTCATTGTTTCATTCTGAAAAAAAACTTTTACCAATAAAATTATGGTAATTGGGGGATGGGGGAGAAAGATGCCTAAAAATACTTTTTAAATAGACAGTATTTTGAAATTCATATCTCAGCACTAACAGTGCAGTACGCAGATATTTTCCCTTCTTTTGCACAAGGAGCCATATCCGTAAGTGGCTATACTCCTGCTTTTCTGTTATTTCCTGTTGTTAAAATTTATCCCTTGCTGATCCTGTAGCAAGTCACACATTTAAGAGGATCAGAGACAGAAGTACTAGCACATGGCCCTTGAGAATAGGTAAACTGTATGATAGGAAAAATCTTTCCCTGTCTTACCTCCTTCAAACACAATATTTTGGTATAGGAAAACCGATAATATTTTCCCTTGAGTTTCAACATCTCAGACGTAAAGGATATACAACTCAAAAGATATATAAGCTATTCAGACTCTACTAGGTTCATTATTTGCAGATAAAATTATATGTACAAGCAAAATTGAAGTTGCATAAAATAATCTTAAAACTCAATGACTTGTATGGTTAACATATATGATCTACTAAATTAATTACATTGTTACAGTTTCACTAAGAATACACTCATGCTTAGACCAAAATATTCAGTTTATTCTATCTTAAGTTCATTTTGAAAAGCACATGCACACAATTATATATATAGTTAACGACCAATTAGGTGTTATGTTTAAATTGTAATTCCTACAATTATCAAAGTGAAATAAAATATATTATGATCAGAATTGATGTAAAGCTAATAAGTGGTGACCAACAGCAATAAATTCTATGGAATTGAAAAAGTAGGAAAACCAGTACTTCATGTAGAAAGGCTTTAAACATGAATTTTTTTAGGGTTTCTAACAAACGATGAACAGATTCATTTCTCACTTAATTTCTAGAAATATTCAGATTGAAAAATTAATTTCAACTGAAGAAACAAGTAGAAGTTTTATGCCCTTAAAGATTCTAATGGTTTTTTGGGGACATAGCTGGAGTCTGTACAAATGACAGTAAATTTCAGGAAATTCAGAAAATGGGTCCTGTGGCTCAAAGGGGTAACTTTAACAGTATGAAAAACAGTTGATAAAGCTGATGTGACAGGAAAACAGAAATCTAATAACAGGCAGAAGGCAAATTTGTGGGTTAGGTTTGTTAGTGTGAGCCTTTGAATTAAAAAATAAACACGTATGCAAATATTTAAAAAAAAGAAAAATCCAATGGGTAAACAAAAGTAGAATATCCAAACAATGGACTACTACTTAGCAATAAAAAGAGCAAACTATTGGTACCTGCTACAAAATAGATAAACCTCAAAAGTGTTGGTACATGAAAGGAGCCAGACACCGAAACTGCATGATTTAATCTACATGGACTGCCCAGAAAAGACAAACTTACAGAGACAGAATGTAAATCTCACTTGTGGCTGGGAGCGGAGGGTTGGAAGTTGATATTGCTAGCAGGTGCAAGGGAACTTTGTAATGATTGAAATATTCTAAAACAATGTTTTAGATTGTGGTGATGGTAGCACAACTTAGTAAATTTACAGTAAATTCATTGATTTGCATACTTACAATGTGTACACTTACAATACATACATTATACCTCATTAAAGGTGTTAAAAGAATAATAAAAGGAACTACCTCCACACCCCCAAATAATCACTAAAATGGTGGGTTTATGTAAAGACCTGGACCAATCAACATTTTACAGATCTTGAGCTTTAGGTACTCATGCATGACTTTTGATCTTAATCAATTTTTAATTAAAATCCAAATACAAAAGATACATTTAAATTTTAAGATGAAATAAATTTATAAAAGCTCAATTTCCCCCATAAAATGTTGTTTACCTTTACATATAGAAAAATTTCCGACCACGAAGTTGGGATAAAACACAATTTTAAAACAGAGTGTAGTGGCAAATGACCCTCCAAAGATGTCCACAGTCTAATCTCTGTAATATGTGCATGTGCAACGTGATATGGTGAAATGGACACTGCAAATGTAATTAAGTTTATAGATCTTACAATCATGCTATCTTAGATTTTCCCCAGTGGGTCCAATCTAATCACATCAGTGAGGGTGACAGAGGGCTGCAGAAGAACCAGAGAGGTGAAGCATGAGAAGGTATTAACCTGTCACAGGGCACCACATAGGAACCGTGAGAAGGTATGGAGACAGCCGTTAGCATCAAAGTCTGGTCCTGGGTGACAGAGGCATGAAAATGGACACCTCGGTTCTACAAGTGCAGAGGCCCTGAATTCTGACAACAATATGGATGAGCTTAGAAGCAGGTATTCCCCAGAGTCTGCAGATAAGAGCTCAGCCCAGATGACAACCTGATTTCACCCAGTGAGGCTGTGGATAGAACATCCAGCTGAGAGCCCTGCTGTGCCCAGATTTTTGACCATCAGAACTGGGAGATAATAAAGAGGTGATGTTTTTAAGTTTTTGTAATAGTTTTTATGGTAGCAATAGAAAACCAATGCATATGGATAGTAAAGCAAAAAAAAAAAAAAAAAAAAAGACCTATTGGTCTATTTATGAAGTCTATGAAAAAATGTTAGTGATGGAACAGTTTAATAATGTAATATGTCAAACTTCCTGTTGAAATAGCATGAAGTCAAAAAGTTACATTTAAAAACTTTTTTTGTGTGTGTGGTAGAAATTCAGTCTAGCTCATGAATTTCGTTTTAGATTTGAAAAGTAATCTATGCTAGTCATCATTGTTAGTACACTATAACTGTCATTGAATTTCAACAAAGAATGGTGAGTGGAAAAATAATATTTGCATTTCTAAACAATACAATGAGGTAAGATGAGTCAACAAGAATGAACTGACCTTTTGCCATGAATTTAAAATTGTTAAATGTATTGACATTTGTTAGGTCTCCATTAAATATTGAGTAAATACAAAAAGGGAAAATGAACAAACCTGTAGAACAATCAAATGCAAATCTGACAATAGCAGAATCACAGTCTTTACTGAACACTTTTGTTTCCATACAGTATAGAATTCATTTTT